CCCTCTCGGTGAAATGGGACACCACCTTGCCCAATGGCCTAAGAACTTGGCGAATAAACTTTGCTGCGGGGCTCATTCTGAGGTTGAGCACTAGCTTGGCTGGCTACAAAGGCGCCTGTTTAGCAGGTGTGTTTTGGAGGCTAGGGCACGCTCGATCTGTATGTGCTTCTAGGCGTCTTTAGGGTGACCCCTGGAAGAGGCAGGGAGGCCATGGCTGGATATGCGCCCAGGTACATGACTGCGGACCGTGGCGCTATGCAGAAGTATGGGCCGCGTGGGTGGCTCAAACTCGACAGATGCTCAGTACGCAAAGCCTGGCTGGGTGGCTGCAGAGTGAGGGGCCGCCACGCTGCTGCACCTGATCACACTGCCACCGCAAGCATGCCACGATGCAAGTCGGGCTTTGCAAAAGAGCTCTCTCCTACACCAACCGAGGATCCCATCTCCAGCACTGTGCGCAGCAGCACAGCCTCAGAGCCTATTCGTCTCTGGAAACCGAGCAAGGCGCGGGAAGGAGCTAGCTGTGGAGCGGGTGGGCAAGGGCCAGGGACCCGAGCCTTCCCCCGACCCCCGCCCCAGTGCCCACTCGGAACGCACTTTCAGCGTGTCCACCCAGTTCAGTTATCCTGCCAGATCTCTGTGCAGCCCGCTCTAGGTCTGGCGGTCGCTCCGTCGCCCCAGAGCCTGAGACCGGCTGCGGGGAGCAAAGCCTCAGTTACGTGGCGCTGCGCGTGGGGCTCTAGACGCCATACCACGAGAGCTTGCGCCCTGCGAAATGGGCTGCGTTGCCCTATGCAAAGCAGCGCAAACTGAGTTCCCTCAGGGTAGCAAGGGCGCAGGCACAGGAGCCGAGGCCCCGCACGGAACCCGGAGCCCGGAGCCCAAACCCTGCTCAGCCTCCGCCGCCGAGCGTACTCACCGTCGCTGAGGCAGAGCGCAGTCAGCACGAGGGCCAGCACGATGACAACCTTGGCATCCATGGCACGGGTGGGCGGCAGCGGGAGGATCGAGGCCGGATACCGAGTTGTGGCGGGTGCGGAGAGGGAAAGTGCGGCGGCAGAGAGAGCGCGTCTGGCGCTTTAGAGGCAAAGCAGTGGAGGAGGGGGAGGGGCGGCGAGAGGCGGCGAGGGGCGGGCCGCGCAGCGAGGGCCGGGTCTGGAGCGGAGTCCGGGAGGAGGCCAGGGGCTCTGACCAGTTTCCCCTCCCACAAGCTCGCTCCAACTGTCTCCTTCGTACCACCCCTCCTCCACTCCAGGGATACCCAAGGGGCTGCGGTGCTCTCAGTTCTTTGGACTTCGTGGGTTCCACTGGGCCCTGCTCTGTAAGCTTGACCGCAGTGAGAAGCCAAGCGGCGCAGTGAGGTTGGCCTGAAGTGTTGGATATTGTTCCTGTTGTCCAGATGGAGAACTTAAGTCCCATAGGCGAGAACTGAATGAGAACCAAGGAAAAGCAATGTCAGTCCTAGGGGTGAGGGCCGACTGGGAGGGTAACATGCAAGGTAGCTAAAAGCGTCCTGTTTTTGAAGCGTAGGACCTCGATTTGACTACCAGCCCAGGCCCACTGTGCCACTGCCCCAAAGCTTGGCCTAAGAGCATACGAAATGGATCTTTGCAATCAGAGCAACTCCGATTCCAAGCCAACGCTATTGCTTACTAGTCAAGCCTCAGTTTTCTCAACTGTAAAACGGGGGCTCTAAATAGGATGCTGTGCCGCCAAAAGGAAACAAAAGCAGTTTCTTCCTAGGATCTTATTAAGTTTAACACTTTGTACCTCTGTTCTCTCAATTGTGAAATGGGCAAATTACAGTTCCCACCCCGCAGAGTGAAACCAGGGAATTGATTGAGACTTCCCTCGAAGTGCACCTCGAAGTGCTCAGTACTCCATAAATGGAAGCTAGAAATAACTGTAAACTTTAGTGTTTTCTCCCTCTCCCCAGTGAACGCCCTGCAAGACCCAAAATGCTGAGAGAACACCTCTTCTTCTCTCTCTGCCCACCCTGACAAGGCCCTTGATGTTGGCCTATCTGGTCCAGAGAACAGCAGAGAGGACCCGTGGTGGTGTCTAGCCCTCTTGGCAGGCCACTGCGCCCCAACCTGAATACCCTGAGCAAGTTGGGGTGCAGCAGGCTGCCTGGGAGGCCCTGGTGAGAAGGGCTCCCTTTTGGGCCTCGCTAGTGTCTCCCACAGGAGGCTCCAGCCACCTCTCCTTACCCTTTTCTGTATAGCCAGTGTAGAGGATTCTGTCCTGGTGTTCATCCAAGGACAGGTTTCTGTCCCTGGGGAATACCGGAGTCTAGGCCAGACAAGGAGTGGGCTGGGCTTGCTGGGCCTGGGCTCAGTTGTTCCAGCTGGAGACCACCAAAGAGAGAGG